ATAAGGCTTAGAATGGTTGGTGAAGACAGAATCTGGAGAGATTTGCTGAGGTGATGGATGTGGAGGGAGTTATTCATGGCACTGAGCCAGTTTAGATGCTTATAATAATGATAATCATAGTTACCGTAACTGAACATTTATTTTGTGTCAGGCATTGTGGTGTCTTTTTTTTTTTTTTTTAACCTCACAATAACTTTATGAGATGGGTACATATTATCTACATCTTATAAACTAGAAAAATTCAGATTAAAAGGCTTGAATAAGTTGTCCAAGACCTCACAGTTGGGAAATGGTGGAGCAGAGATTCAGTTAGCTGCATCTGAGTCCAAAGTCGATATTCTTCCACAACATTCTACTTCCCTACTCACTCTCATCTCTATCTCTGTCTCTATCTCCAGGCCTAAAGCAAAATAGTGGAAAAATAAACAAAAAAATCAGGACTAGGTAAAATATAAATAGAACAGGAGATTAAGATTAAAGAAAAGATATACAGGCCATAATGTCCAGTACAGTCATAAAAATTTTGGAAAAGGAGGCTGAGAATGGTCACACAACTTGAAGAATATAATCTATGTCACTGAATTGTACATGTAGAAATGGTTGAATTGGTGTATGTTCTGCTGTGTACATTCTCAACAACAAAGTAAATAAATTCTAAAAAATTAACACTAACAAAAGAATAATGTTGAACAAATAAACTCTTGAAAAGAATTATTTAAAAAATATTAGAAATGAAAAAAATTTAAGGCTTCGAATATGGTTTTGAGCTTCCTCATGTCAAAGCAAAGCGGGAAGCACGGTCAGTTTGGAAGTTCACATTGTTTACCAGGGGTATTAAACTAAGAATGGCTCATTTTGGAAGATTTTATGGAGAGGATGAATTGCCAGTGTTTTGAAAGAGAGGAAGGATGCAGTTTGGTGGAGAGAATATGTTCTTCCTCAGTGATTCTCAACCAGAGGTACCTACTACCCAGGGATGTTTACCAGACTCATCCGGCTGAGACCTTCAAATTGCACAACCTCACCTCTGAATAAACCTCCTGGGGCACTGGGCTCCTGGAGAGAATTCTGCCACGGTGCGTTTTATGGCTAATGAAAGCCTGCTAATGAGAGGGTACTGCTGAGAGTTTCTCAGGTGTCTTGGAAGGAGAAGAAGGTGAAGAATACCTGTTCTAGATAAAGGGCATGGAATGAGTCATTTATTCATTCAGCCATTTTAAAAGCACTTAGTATACGCCATGTGCAATACTCATTCTGAGACAAAATGAGACTGAAAAATTAAAAATGTATTGTATAGGAGAATGGATGAGAATTAGGCACCACTGCATGTCAGGTATTGCGTTAGGCTTTACATATATTATTTCATCTAATTTCCACAACAACTTTGTGAAGTAGGTGTAATGCTCCTGTGATGGTTAAGATTGTGTGTCAACTTGGTTGGGCCATGATTCTCAGTGTTTCGGCCGTTGTATAATGTTGTGATCACTTCTCTGCTGAAATTTGATATGTGATCAACCCCATGATGGAATCTACTGAGTGGTACTGGTGGGGGCGGGGCCTGTGGTGGCTCACCACCCCCTCAGCCTTCATCTCTCCACCCTCCACCACCAACTTCCTTCCTGCTTGCCTTGCCAAGGCTCTTGGCTTGTTCTGGACCATGCAGCTGTTTCTAGTTCGTCTGACCTCCAGTTATTGGAACTGGAGCTAGCAGCTTACCCGCTGGTCTCAGGATTCCTCGATCTTCACAGCCTGTCAGCAAGAGTCCTGCTCTCTGACCTGCCAATCTTGGGTTCGTCAGCCCCTGCAACTACATGAATCAGGAGATGCCTTTCGGTCTTGCCTGCCGATCTTGGGATTTGTCAACCTTCACAGCCTGTGAGCAAAAGCCCTGCTCTCCGACCTGCCAATCTTGGGTTCACCAGCCCCTGTGGCTACATGAATCAGGAGAAGCCTTTATCCTGATACACGGACTTAGGCTGTTCCAGCCTCTACAATCGTGTAGGCTGTTTCCTTGATATAAATCTCTCTATATATATTTATATGCTTTACTGGTTTTGCTTCTCTAGAGAACCCATCCTAAGACAGCTCCTTTCACAGATCAGGGGCTCAGGGAGATTATTTTGCTCAATGTAGCACAAATAGGAAGTACCAGGATAGAAACAGAAACTGGTGCTTTCTGTATCTCACCAAGCCTGCTTCCATTCTCCATTTTCAGGGCCATCCTCCTACTGAACAACTCCAAGAGCGTCTTAGTCACCTAGTGCTGCTATAACAGAAATACCACAAGTGGATGGCTTTAACAAGGAGAAATTTATTCTCTCACAGTCTAGTAGGCTAGAAGTTTGAGTTCAGGGAGTCATCTCCAGGGGAAGGCCTTCTCTCTTTTTTCTCTCCAGACAAAGATCCTTGTCATCAATCTTCCCCTGGTCTAGGAGCTTCTCGGTGCAGAGACCCCAGGTTCAAAGGACGTGCTCTGCTCCTGGCACTACTTTCTTGGTGGTATGCAGTCACCCCAGTCTCTCTGCTTTCTTCTCTCCTTTATATCTCAAAAGAAATTGACTTAAGACACAATCTAATCTTGTAGATTGAGTCCTGCCTCATTAACATAACTATCTCTAACCCTGCCTCATTAACGTCATAGAGGTTAGGATTTAGAACACATAGGAAAATCACATCAGATGACAACATGGTGTATAATGATACAATACTGGGAACCATAGTCTAGCCGAGTTGATAAAAATTGGGCGGGGGGGAGGTACAATTCAATCCATAACAGAGAGGCATCATCCCTATTGCACTGTATATAAATGGTGCCCCCTGGAACACAATGGGGAGGAAGAGGAGGAGAATCTAAATGACTTTGATGAAAACACCCTCTCTCAAGGGGCTTATGGCCTAATTGTGTGATGAAGACCAGTGTGCACATATTCCTAAAAACAATATAAAATGCCAAAAGACGATAACGGGCGTGGAGGGATTAATTCTGCTGGACTGCAGGCTTGGCATCTAAAAAGGTGTACAAGAAGTAGGATTCGAACTGAGCTGAGAAGCGTGGATAAGATTATGATAGATATTGCTGCATGGAAGAGACATTCCAGGGAGACAGTGGTGTGGTCTACCAGGCCTTTCCAAGGACTTGAACGTAGTAAAATTTAGCTGGAAAAGGTTAGACTTAGAGGAGTGAATTGAGGATAGGGGCAGAAATGGACAGATTTCCAAGTCCAAGCACACTCCTTTATTGATATCTCTCCAATTCTGTTTCTTGCCTCATCTTCTTAGTCAAAAGAGAGGAATCCAAGGATTCTTAGTGCAGTGACATAACATGTAAAAGTTCCAGCTATCATTCCAGTAATTTAAGACCTCAGAAATGAAGTGGGAATTATAAAGGATAAGCAGTGGAATTGGGTCTCTGGACCTAACACTCTTTCCTCTTTCCTTCTCCACTTCCACATACTCTTTCTGTCTTTGAGATATCATACCTTTCCTTTCCAACAACTTGGCTGTGCCACCAACTCAGGGAAAATAAAGGAGTTTTGCAGCTCTAAGAATCCAACTTGGTGAGGGCTTTCTTGGCTCATAGATAAGGCATGGCTCATATTTTTGGTGTCCTAGTCTCAGACATTCCTACCCCATGCCTCATGGGTGCATTGAACAGAGATGGTCTTGTGATTGTAGCTGCTTGCATGTACTACAACAAAGATCATGGAAGAGAAATGAAAGTGGCCTTCACTACTATCAGGCCTAGAGATTTGGGGAAAAAATGTATTCCATAGAGTTGATCGTTGTTTCAGAAGAGATTTAAACTGTGTCCAGAAAGTTATCCCATAGATCTTATTGCTCCTTCAGAAGACATGTAAATTGCCCTGAAGCTCTGAACTCTGCTCCCACTCTGCCTACAGAGATGGCCATGAGTTGTTGCCACCCCACCCACTATGACATGCTGCCCCACCCAGCCAGAGAGGATAGGTCTAGCTATATGTGGAAAACTCAATCAACAAGAAGATGCCTTTTCTGAAATTTCTGATGTTCAGTTGGATATCTCGGTTGGGAGCAGTACTTGGCAAGAGAAGGGTGAGCTCAGAGGATATCGTCATAGGCTGAGATGACTTGTGTGGGAAGAGAAAGCAAAAGCAAACCAAGGGAGAGGGATGAAAAGAGTTGGGAGATAGAATTGAGAAAGGAATGAAAACAAAAAAGCTTCAAGGGGAAGAGAAAAGAAGAGATGGAATGTGAAACTAGAAGGGAGTTTTGGGATTCCACTTTTCTTAGACTGGACTTGGTCCTAAAGTTTGATTTTGGTGCAGTGGTTAGGAGATGCCATCCCTGAGAGCCTGACATTTGTTCCTTCCTTCCAGAAGTTGTATTCTTTTGTCCATGCTGCTGTTTCTGCTGCTGTTCAGGATCAACTTAGCCTGTAATGCCTAGAGTTTGTTAGAAAGTAGGATGACCATATCAGGTAGCTGACTTTTTTGGTAACTTCTGCCTCTTCCATTGTCTTCCCTAAGTTTCCCTGAGGGTTTGGGTTAGTGAATGTATTTGCCAATAGACATACACTTGCACGCCATAGCTGGGTAAATGCTGTCAAGGAAGAGGAAAGGTAGCAAAGTGTGAAATGTTTGGAGAACAACTAAGTTAGGGGATTAAAAACAAAACAAAACCCATTGCCGTCGAGTTGATTCTGACTCATAGCGACCCTATAGGACAGACCAGAATTGCTCCTTAGGGTTTCCAAGGAGCGCCTGGTGGATTCGAACTGCCGAAGTTAGGGGATAATCATTCGTATTAAAAAAGATTTGACTTGTTGAAATTTAGATCATGCAAAATATTGCAATCGATCCTGGAAAGTGAGAGATTATAGGAGGCATGGTTCTTCTTGGCTCTGTCTTGCCTGAACAAAATGTCCAACTTCTGACTGCTCCTTCCTTGGCCCATTATTCATTTGTCAGTAGAGGCTTCATTTCCATAACAAGTGTTTGTATTAACACTGTAGGAAATCAACCATGGAAGAAGTTGGACAGGACCCATCAGATGATGTGTAAGTCATGAGAATGATAAAAGATTTCAGTAGAATAATAGTCTCTGTAGCCAGGTGGTAAGGAAGAATTGTATTACTTGTCCAGGACATTATCTCCTCGAACCTGGGAAGGCTTCCTGGGGAGAAAAGTCTTTTTGGTTTCAGTTCTGTATGCTACAGACTGATGGTGGGGTTTTCGGATATAGCTAATGTCTCAAACAGCAAATTAATGCTGTTTGGAGAAAAGACCCATTCTCCCCGTTTCACCTGGCCCCTGCACCTGCCTACCTGGGTTAGAAGATATTTAAGCAGTTAACAGAAACAGATTGAAGACATTCCTCTCTCTTGCAAATCTTTGAATGCTTTATAGGTGTGACTTGAGTCACATATACTCCGTATAAAATGTTTTGAAAACAAGCAAGTTAGAATATAATTACTCATATCAAAAATATTTCTTTTGCTTTGTGAAAGACTTCAAAGGAGTAGGATTTCAGTGAGTTCCACTTATAATATTCAAAAGTCAAATATGATTTGACTCCAGGAATTGATTTCACGCCAACTGTAGAAATTAGTTTATCACGGAAAGTGAGAAAGTTCGGGCTGGGTTAGGCATCATAACAACCGAAGACAGAAGAATGAATGAGCTTATGGGGGAAAGCCTTTTTAGGGCTTATGTTTTCCTGTTCTGAGTTTAGTAATAAAGACAATTTTCCTGTAGGTATGACGTGGTGGAAATACCAAAATTAGAAGTCACAAAACAGAACCTACCTTGACTACCTGAACTCATACCTTGAAAAGGACCTGCAGAAACTGGGAGAGGCAAATCAGGTTCTTCTGAGAAAAATTCAGGAGAAAGAAGAAGCTGTTGAAAGGTCAGATGGTTCAGTGGGTGAGGGAAGGGCTCCTCCTCCTTTGAATGTTCTGCAGGACAGAGAGAGGGCAGGAGGAAGGTCCACCTGTCGGTGAATCTTGGTGTGTTATTTGAATCCTGAAACATGCCCTCAAAGGCTTTACTTCTTAAATTTCCATATTAGGTTGACATTTTATTGCTACTGCGTTAGGTAGTCACTCCAGGCCCCTGAGACCCTTGACGGCAGTGTCCCCGCTGGGGCCTCGGTGCTGTTGCAGCTTGCTTAGACTGATCCATACGTACTGACTTGATACGTTTCAGCCTGGAAAGAGAGCTCGCCCTGTCACCAGGACCAGCCAAGGAGAAGAAGGAGCTGAACGACAGCCCATCTGAGGAAGAGGACGCCCTGAGGGATGTGGAATTAGAGACAGCAAAGCTGGTAAGGAGGTGGCTAAGAAAGGGGCATCCGAGGCATTTGCTCGAAATCTGTGCTCTCTCTTCCCCAGGGGATGGTCACGTATTCATCTCCTCTGTATCTGTATCTGTAGAGGTCGCGGCCATTGAAGACTGTGCTCTGTGAATAAAGCTGTGGGCATAGGGCTCAGTGCCTGAGCTCTGTTCCCAGGTCTGCTGTATGGCGCCAGAGGACACTTTCCCCACTTCACACACACACACACACAGATATTTTAAAAATTGACATTGAGTTGACTATGACTCATGGTGACCCATGTGTGAATAGAATTGTACTCCGTAGGGTTTTCAACGGCTGATTTTTTAAGGAAGTAGATCACCAAGGTTTTCTTCCAAGGCTCCTCTAGACGGACTCCAACCTCCAACCTTTCTGCTAGCAGCTGGGCGCTTACCCATTTGAAACACCTAGGGACTCCTATACACTTATACCCAGATGTAATTTCAGTGACCCAGTGAGGGGGAGGGTGTAGGAGTAGAGCAGTTTTGTCCCATTACTTCCTTCTTTCTGCAGGAAAAATATAATCAGATTCTGAGCAAGAATGAGCTGGAGCTTCAGAAGCAGGTAAGATGGGTTTTCAAGGTTCCCAGGATCCCCAAAACATGGCCTTCACAAGAGAAAGGCTGGTGCCAGTAGGCTGGGAGCATGAGAGAGAGGGACAAGTCACATTCAGAATGAAGAAATATATGCATACTTGTGGAAGGGCTGTTTTCTACACCACTATGTCCGCTCTTGAAATGAGGCTCATTTCCTAGGAATCCCAACAGATTCAGTGTCTTCCTGAAGTCTCCAGCCAGAAAGATCAGAGAGGGAGCAACCCACACAACCCATCTTCTCCCTCCCCACCTGCCACCTTCTAAACATCCTAGTACAGACTCTGACCCATACCACCACTGGGAGGTACAGATTGTGCTGAGAGAGTTCAACGACTGTAGAGGGAGAAAAGATTTGCCCCTCTCACCCCCAGCCACTCTGCCCATTCTCTCTTCCCTCTCCTCATTGTGTTGTGGTTTCCATTGGCTCTGGGAACAAAAAGGTCTATCCAGCTAGCATGGAGTCAGACAGCTTCCAGAGGGAAAGGAGACCCATTTTCATCAAGCTTCCATCTGGAATGGGAATACATTACACCCCTCCCCGCTCTGCAGCACTGTGATCCCCAAGTCTGCTGTTGTTCCAAGTTTTCATGTCTCTGTGTCTTACTTAGTTCACAACTTTTGGAATGGAATTTCAGATTTCAAGGAAATTTAAGAATGTTGGCCTTGATAAAGAAACCCTAAGGCAGATGCTGACGGACTCAAAGGTGAGTAGAAAAGCAAATCTAGAGGTTTTCTGGGAGATGGCTCTATCAGTTTTAGGTTCCAGGAGGAGGAGCAGTCTTCAAGGACCCTGCTAGGCTAGGTATGCTTGTGTGCTGGTCAGAGGTGGGCCAACTTCCATTGTTCTCTCTCGTTAACCTTATGGACCACGGGGCATTTATAACATACGCATCACACTAGTAACAGAGATGACCGCAGTGGCGTTAAAGTGGAGGGGACTTGCTCTAGAGACCTCGCCACCTATCAGTCAATATAACACGCATGCTGGACGCCCATCAGGACCTGCCCTCAAGTTTATGATCTAAGTGAGAAGGCAACACAAAGACTAACTTCCATGATCATACAGGGATACGGCCATGATCTTACCCGATTTTCCAACTCACGGCTCATAGGCCAAGGAAATTTTGTTTTTATCTTTTTCCTCTACCTGAAGGTAAACTCAATGAGAGCGTGGATTTTTTTTTTTTTTTTCCTATATTGTTCACTGCTGTTTCCCCAGAGCCTAGAACAGTGCCTGGCACATAGAAGATGCCCAGTAAATACTTGTTGAATGAATTAATGGATGCCCACAGGGGGCAAAACCCTGTGTGGAAGCCCTCTGCAGATTTATGTGAAGAATATAGCTATTTGGCTGATCCCTGAATACAATACCCCACCATCCTACTTTTCTCTCTAAAAATGAGGAGTGAAGTTTCTCTTTTGCTCCCTCTGTGATTCAGAGGGGATGCCAGTGCACCTACAGAATATGAGTGGGAGAAAGCGGTTGGTGAGCTTTGGTTAGTAGAATTAGAGGAAGAGGGATGGTTGGGCCAGGGACTAAGGAGTCAGACTAAAAAAAACAAGACCAAAAAAAACAAAAAAACCCATTGCCATTGAGTCGATTCCAACTCATAGTGACCCTATAGGACAGAGTAGAACTGCCCCATATGGTTTCCAAGTAGAGGGGTGGTGGATTCGAACTGCTGAGCATTTGGTGAGCAGCTGAACTCTTAACCACTATGCCACCACAGCTCCACCACTGTGTGACTTTTAAGCAAATCACTTAAATTCTCCATGTCTTTGTTTCCTCATCTGCAAAATGGGGGTAATAATAGTGCCCACCTGATAGGATTGTTGTGAAGATAAAATTAGATTGTTATGATCATATATCTTCAGTATATGCTAGCCGTTCTTATCATGCTCTCTGCTGGTCTGCGGAGAGAGGGTGAAAGCTGCCCGTTTATCTTCCACAGAAGAATGTTGCTGACTTTCCTCCATCCTTGTCTTCCACAGGTGAGACCACAAAAGGCAAAGCAAGAAAAGGAACTGCTCAAGGTAGAGGCAGTGTCTCTCCCACTGAGGGTCTAGCCCAGGATATAAATAGGAGAGAATCCCAAAGGTCTTAGCACTGCCTGAGGCATAGGAACTGGAGGAGCAGGAATATTTGGCAAACGAATCTCTGATTCACATGCAGGTGAAGGGCAAGACAGCTTACATTAAAAGTACTGATCTGACTGTTTCTTAAACCTTCTCCTACCTCAAATATAAGGAGCCCTCGTGGCGCAATGGTTAAAACACTCAGCTGCTAACTGAAAGGTTGGCAGTTCAAACCCACCCAGCAGTTCCATAGGAAATCTGCTTCCGTAAAGATTACAGCCAAGAAAACTCTACGGGGCAGTTCTACTGTCACATGGGGTCACTAAGAGTTGAAGTCAACTCGACGGCACCTAAGAAGGACAACCAAACCAAAAAATCAAAGCCGTTGCTGCGGAGTCAATTCCGACTCACAGCGACCTCAAATATATTGTTGAATCCCAAACCCACGTGTCCTGAAAATCCCCCTGATGTTTCACCTAAAAGGCATAGCACAACCTGGGACGACAATTGCCTTTGCTTAGAGTTAGACCCTGAGCCCGAATGATGAGATTGCTGCTTCCCTTCAGGCCAGGAGTTGCTAGGCAACCAGCCAAACATCCATTGCACCAGTTAGGGGGCCCTGGGGATCAGCCTAGGCTTGGGTGGAGGCCAATGTTTTCCTGGTTCTGATTTAAGGCATGGATTTGTCCATTTTCTTTCTAGACAGAAAGCGACTACCAATCTGTGCGTTAGCTCTGTGAGGACGAGACCCACTACATAAAGGTACAATGTTTCTGGGGGAAAAGTCAGAGCAGAGACAGAATTTCTCCAAGGCCTTGACGGGGTAAGGGCCCCCTTGGCTTCTCATTAGGCTGAAATCTGCCACTGGGGCAAAATGCCTTTTACAGAACAACAATAACAAAACAGACTTTACGTAAGGATTTACTTCGTGCAAGGCACTGTGCTAAGCACTTGACATACGGTATTTTCTCTCAGTTTGCGCAGTAACTCTGTGAGGATGATACTGTCATGATCATGAGGAAACTGAGGTTGGGAGGAGTTGGGGAACATAGCTGGGGTTTGGACACAAGCAGAGTCAGAGAGAGAACCCCTTTTTCATGTACATCCATTCTGGTCGCTAATAATCTCCTATTTTCTACGAGAACCCTCCCGACCTGTGTGTTCACACTCATTCATGCGTGCACGCACGCGTACATCTACTGTTTGCAATATTCAGAGTTAATCTTAGAAATTGGTTATATATTTTAATCAGTGCCATTGTAATGAAATATATGGAAATTCTCAATTATGACAAACATATGTATATTTTTTATTTCCATGGAAAGAAATACCGGGAACTTCTGAGACAGACGGAAAAGGAAAAGGGGATGTGTTTCTTGAAAAAGCAGTGTAAGTTTTCTAAATGACCTCCTTGATGGGCTGAAGTGACAGACCCAGACGACTTTGAAGGGTAGAGTGATTCTCAGAACAGTTTCTGTCCCTGTGTGAATGGGCTCCAACAAGTCATCCTATCAGCCTCTGCTCCATGGCCCAGACTGAAAAATCATCAACATTCAAGCTTCTCCCTGCCTGTCTTGGCTGTAAGTGTTTAAAAGGACTCTTCTTGTATGTTCTTTTCACGAGTCCTTTGTTGAGTGCCATTCCTGAGAACTGACTCAGGCTGTGCTCCGAGAGGAAGTATCCTTGTAAAAAGAGGGGACAAGCTCAGAAATGTCTCTCAATATGTGCATGCTGTCCCCTCCCACTCAGTCTGCTGTCCCCACCAGACTGACTGGAAGCCCCAGTGATGTGATTTGATGCCCTGTAACCATAGACTCGTATGTCTTAGGACTTAATACACTTTCCTTTTTGCCTGTATATACTTTTTTATTGCATTATGTATATTATACAATATACAGTGTATAACTTGAAGAATTTTCATACATGTATATACACATGTTAACATTATCCACATTGAGATCTAGAACGTTTTGAGCACCCCATAAGTGCCCCCCTCCTTGCAAAGGTAAATTCTATCTGATCCTATCATTTTTTCACTTTTTATCTTCTTGAACTTATAAATGAGACTACAAATATAAATGAAACTCTTCAGTCTATCCCCTTTCGGGTATGGCATCTTTTACTGTGAGATCCATTCATGTTGCTACATACAGCTGCAGTTTGTTCTTTTTTTACAGCTACATCGTTTTCCATTGTATGAATATGGCATAATTTATCTATTATACTCATGATGAATATTCTTGTTAATTATAATTTGGGGCTATTAAGAATAAAGCTGCTATGAAAATTCTTGTTCACTTCTTTTGATGGATTTATGCACTTCTGTCTTTTGGGTCTATACCTAGGAGTGCAATCGCTGGGACATAAGGTATCCGTATCTTTAGCTTTATTAGATGAAGCCAAACAGTCTCCCAGAGTGGCTGTACCAATGTCCTCTCCCATAAGCAATGTCTGAGAGTACTAGTTGTTCTACATCTCCCCTGACAATTGGTATTTCCAGTCTTTTTTAATTTTAGCCATTCTGGCAGGGGTGTAGTGATAATCTAACTCTGGTTTTTTAACAATACATTTCACTGATTGCTAATGACATTGTGTATCTTCTCAAATGCTTATTGGAAACTTGGGTATCCTCTTTCCGGAAGTGTCTTTTGCCTGTATTTGAAGGGTTGTCAGTCTTTTTCTTACTTACTGATTTGTAGGAGTTCCGTATATTTTCTTGATAGGGTCCTTAGTTGGATGTATGTATTACAGTCTATTCTATTGCTTACTTTTTTAACTCTCTTAATGGCATCTTTCAATAAACAGTCATTCTTAATTTTAAATAAATATAATTCATCCAATTTACCAGTCTTTTCTTTTTGGTTATTGCTCTCCTTAGGTCATAAAACTATGCTATGCTTTCTTGTAGAACTTTTTTTATTGTTTTACCTTTAGGTTTGTGTTCCATCTAGAATGTATTCTTTTCTGTGGTGTGAGGTAGAGATCAAGATTCATTTTTTCCCTTATATTGACAGCCAACTAACCCAGCACTGTTTATTAAAGAAATCATATACCTAAGCTTTTTTTTTTTAATAAGTCAGATTATCATATATTTGTAAGCCTGTTTCAGGATGCTTTATTCTGTACTATTGGTCTGTGAGTTTACCCTTGTGCTAGCACTACACTGTTTGAATTACTGTAGCTTTATAATTAGTCATGATATATGGTAGTTTAAGTTCTGCAGCTTCGTTCTTCAAGATTTTCTTGGCTATTCTTGACCGTTTGAATTTCCAAATAAATTCTAGAATCAATTTTTCAATTTCCACAAAAGAATACCCACTGAGATTTTTATTGCCATTACATAGACTCTGTAGATCAGTTTGGTGGATAATTGATATCTGAAAAACAAGGAGTTTTCCAAGCCATGAGTATCATGTATCTTTCCACTTATTTAGGTCTTTAATTTCTCATAGTTTTATGTGTAGTGTTCACATACATTTATTCCTAGGTGTTTGTTATTTTTGATGCTATTGTAAATGGTATGTTTATTAATTTGATTTTCTCCTTGTTTATTACTAGTATATAGAAATGTAATTGATTTCTGTAAATTGAACTTATATTCATCATCCTTGCTAAATTCACTTATTCTAATAATTTGTAGATTCTTTTAGAGTTTCATCTGTGCAGAATGATAGTTGTATCTCTTCCATTTCAATCTTTATAGTTTTTATTTCTTTTTCTTGCCTTATCACATTAGCTACAACTTTGAGTATACTATTAGCTAGATACGGTGACAGTGGATATTTTAGAATCTTGATTCCACATGTGCATTATAGGAGACAGCTATTACCTTCAGCAGAAAACCTCTGTAGGCATTTGGACTCACTTCTCTATGGTTCCCTCCTCTTGTTTTTCTCCTTGAGGCACGGAAAGTTTGACCATCCTAAATGCCGTATTCTATCTCCTCAGCCCATTGATGCTGCCACTTGTTGCTTGGGAAAAAGCCTAGATGAATGAGGAGTTCACCTCAGTGTGCTTTACTTCTCACAGTTAACAGAGTTTGTAACCAGTCAGCTTCTGACTGTATTCTCCAATACATTCAAATGGCTGTTTTATGTATTTTGTCTAGTTTTTATAGCCGACTTTGGAGGTGGGCTAGTCTGATACAAGCTGCTCCATCATGAGTTTGTAAGATCAGAACCGAGTCTGTTCCATTTTTCCCTTTATTTGATGATTACAAAAAGAAACTCCCACAAAAAAGGCTGAGTAAGATTTTGCTGGATCTGACTCTCTGCAGGGTCCATCTGGACAAGAAAACACAACAAAGCAAATGAACAAACAATGACTAGAAGGCATTAAGAGAGTGAATAAAAGTAGGCAGATTCTGGAGGGAAGTTGACACTTGGAAAAAGGGGGGATTTTCCCATTTTTATCACTTTTAGCCTGAGACCTGATCCAACTAGGTGCTGTGAGGTACTGTGAAAACCCAGAGAGAAAATCTGAGTCTTTATGGGCTAAAACAATGGAGTGCAGAGTTTGGGGCAACCAAAGCCACTGCAAAGAAAGTTGAGAGTCAGAGATGGGGAGTCTGAAATTCTGTGTCTAAACTATCCCCAAATCTCTGGATGACTCCAAACCATGCAAGCTCAGGGAAGTCTGTGAGCAGCACAGCCCAGGAACTAAGACCTGACCTGAGATGTCAACTGCCATCAAGACTTTGCAGTTTGAATCCAGCATCGGGGTTACATCAGGACTGATCTCCATTAGTTTTCTTTTCTCTTTGAATAGGTTACATCTTCCTGATTCCTTGTATGCTGAACATTGTCAATTTTGTCAAAAGTTTAGGTAATAAATCATAGGTGTTGCATGACTTGGGAAAGCATTTTTCATCAGCCCATTAAATTATGTCACAGAGTCCTTGGCTCTAACCTTTTTTTATCCAGATCCAAAGCCCAGAACAACTCCTCCCAAATGGTGAGAACTGGGTTAACTTTTGTGGAGACCATCCAAAGCAACATGGTAAGTCTTCCCTGCCCCAATTTGAGGTTTTCCTCTACCTTTTCCCTTTCCTGGATTTTTGCTTTCCTTCTCATCTCCTCTCGTCTCTCTGTCCACCCCCATGTATTCTTTTGCATCCTTATAACAACTCTAGTATCTTGCTCCACACCATAGTAGCTAGGAAGTGGCAGAGCGAGGATTCAAACCTGGGCAGCCAGGGTCTGTGCTCTTGGCCACCGCACTCTACTGTCTCTCTGTGAGCACATGAACAAGCTTAGTTGTGGCTTTTATTGCTTCCCACCGGAGAAGACCATCATTAAGAGACAGAGGAGGATCTTCTGGTGCAGGTGAGTGGTGTAACCTTGGCTTTTACCTCGTCTAGGCTACATTCGCTCACTAGAAGCAGGTGACCTGATGCAGAAGGACAGAAGGAATAATAAGAATAAACACATCCACCACCCAAAAAACATCAAGCAGCACACAACACATACACACACCCCTACACCTTTTATTGTTTGGGTTGGTATCTTTCAATGCTTCATGTTTAGACAAAGTCAACCCTAATCTTTTTACCTAGATCTGAGTGTCAGAGATGGCTCAGCCTTGGTCAGATTCTACAATTATTTGCTGTAGGGGACCTGAAGAGGACCACCCGTCACACACTCTGGAGTATGATGGTCCTGGACATTTTATGACGACATCCAAAAAGCTTGACCCATATACAGTGATTGGAAAGTCTTTACTATTTTGTACTTTAACTTTTCTATAAAGAGGTCTATTCTATTGGAGGACTTAAATGTCAGGACAGCTGTATTCAACCCCACTACAACAATTTTTTTTTGTTTTTTTTTTTTTTTGGTATTACCTGTCCTCTACCCTTATCCTCTGCTACTTCCATGCCATGCTTCCCACCAGTTTTGTCCAAAGAGAGCTGGAGACCATATCAGTTCACCCCAGGCATTTGTGAGTATGAGGTTTGCTGTGTTGAGCTGTCTCTCTCCCCCACGCTAATGACAGTCTCTTCATAGGCATTTTCAGTGTCTTGTCTTCATGATCGTGATCTTCATTAGCTGCTGGGTTATGTGCTTTTCCACCTACAGTACATAAACTGAGACCTTCTTGTGGACACCCTGCCCATGGTAATGAGCAGGGGCACGTTGAAGAGGCTGAGGGACTTCCTTTGCCCCTTCCTCACTCTGGAGGTGGAGGAAAGTTCTTCTGCACTAGTCTGTGGAGGCCTGGGGTCCACATACACGGAGGAGCGGAGGGGGTATGGCTGTGGCCACATGTGGGGGAATGGGCCAGGAAGGAAGTGGAGGCTTCAACGAGCTGTTACTTTGATTTCATCTTCATTTCATTCTCTTTCCTTGCTTTCCCTCTGGAGTGTATCTCTTTGAAATAAAAAAAATATGTTTGACCAGAGTCCATTGTTTTGGTCCGTGAATTTTGGTCCGTGGTCCTGGAGCCCCAGCCAAATGAGGAAGCTCAGAGACGAGGCACTTACAGGTTCCTGCCTGTGCTAGTAAGAAAAGCTGTGAGATCATAAAAAATTCCTCGTATTAATTTCCTTGTGCCGCTGTAACAAAATTCCACTAACTGGGTGGCTTTAAACAACAGAAATGTATTGTCTCGCAGTTCTGGCGGCTAGAAGTCCAAATCAATGTATCGGTCAGGTTGTGTTCTTTCCAAAGACTCTAGGTCTAGGGGAAGGGCCTTTCTTGTCTTTCCTGGCTTCTGGCAGCTCCAGGCTTTCCTTGGCTTAGAGCTGCATCTTCTCATGACCATCCTTTCTCTATCTCTGTTCATCTTCTGTTTGATAAGGTCAGCAATCATATAGGATTAGGACACACCCTACTCCAGTATGACCTCATATTATCTGATAACATCCTCAAAGACCCTATTTCCAAACAAGATGACGTCCATAGGTACCAGTGGTTAGGACTTCAACATCTTTGTGGGGAACACAATTCAACCTGTAACACTCCGTGAGGACTTCCATCATGTTCCATGTTAAAAAGCTTAAAAAAAGAAAAGTGTTCATTTGTTAGATCCTCTAGTTACCTTGCAGGACCACAAAGGGCATTCAGTTGAGGAACCACTTGGGTGGACAGAAGGCTTGTTCCTTTCTACTATTTTCATAACACATTGCACCCCGTATGGCTCTTTTATCTTACAGTATGCTGTCTTATATGAGTGGGATGGCCTGAAAAGCTAACCTTTTCCATGTACACAAGTGGTTACTTATACTCATTCACAAAGAAACTCAATTACCCTGAAATTCAAGTGCCATATAAAAGGCAGTGTGTGAAATCAGAAAGTGCTTTAGATACATCCAAACACAATTTTGTACCCTACTTATTGCTCAAATGCCAGTTCAAATGGGCATCTCTTTTAATGCCTGCCCCGATCCCTCCCCACTGAGACAGCCTCCCTCCCCTTCTTCTGAAGCTCCGACCACTTCTCGGGCTTCCCTTTCTGCCCTGCCCACTCTGTCTTGCGGTGTCACTACTGTGTTCCTTGGCTGCGAAGCTCACAACCCCTTATTTCTGTATCATCCCACGTGGCTCCCTAGAACAATGTCTTTATGAAATACTTAGTAAAAGAGGGAATCATTTCTTGGATAGTTGGTATTTCTTTTCAGAATATCTGGAGGGTGACAAATTGGGACAGTGAGCCTAGAGCCTGTCTTGTGAGATTTCACACTTGGCAGTACAGTCAACTGGACATTGGTGGTGCAGAGGAAGGGAAGTAGAAGGATGTGGCATAAGGCACTAGGTCATCTGGCCAGCTGGTGGCGTCTCCATGGTTACTGAAGCTAAGTGGTGGAGGTGCCCTCCTATACGTTCCTCAGGCTCTTGCTTTCTGGTGACCTTTCTCCTTTCAAGACTGTTCATGACATTGGTTTTAACTGAATTTCCCATGAACATCAACGTCAGGTGGGAGGGGCATACTGTGTGTTTGCCTTGGCTTCAGATACGGCCCTGTCCCCTGATTTCTTTCTCAGGGGTGAGGGGAGAGGATGGTCTCAGAACAAGTCTAGTGAAAAATGAAAAACCGATCAACACTACCCTCTTGTGGCCAAATGAAAGCTCCTTGTATTCAGCTGGCTTCACCCAAAATGCTATGCGGTCACAAGTTGAAGCAGGGAGGATGGACTAGGTGTCACATCTGTGCAATTCTCTCTATGAGCTTTAGTAAGTCCACTTAGTCTTCATTCACTCAACAAATATTTATTGATCACCTTCTTGGAGACAAGCAGCGTTCTAGGTGCTGAGATTACAGGAACAGGAACAAACAAAACAAAAACCTCTGCCCACGTTCCAGAGGACAGAGATGGACAATAAATAGACCACTGAATTATACAAATATCAGACCATGTGAAGAGGCGTAAAAAAACAAGGCAGGGAGGGAGGGATTGCTGAGGAGAAGCAGTTGCAATGTTCCTGAGAAAATGGCATCATAACAGAACTGAATGAGAGAAAGGAGACAGTGGGGACCCAGGGGAGTGGTGTGGCAGAGAGGGGAATGGTCTCCAGGGTGGAGTGTGCCTGGTGCACCTGAGGTTCTTTGCTGATTTCCTGCTCACACCTCAGTAATGGCCCCTTCATCAAAGTCTCTTCATCAGAACCACCTGAGTTGAATTCTGTTTTCTGCCAGGACCCTGACTGATAGATACTCTGTTCACTGGCCAGATCATTCCTTAAGCTAAAGGGTTTCAGGATTTGGGTGAAGGCGTTTGTAAGACTGCAGGTGTATGTGAAGAAAAGGGATGCAACTGGCCAAGAAGTGTATAAACACTATTTCCTGACTCTCTCCCATCTCCTTCCTCGCAATCCCGCATAAACTCATAGATCTCCTGGGCTCTCCGCCACCGACCAGCCCTTACAACAGACACATCCACAGACACACATGGGCTCACATCAGTATTCGAGATTGACTAGGAAATGTCAGCTTGGGAAAATATGGACCAGTAGGCCCTTTACTTGCAGTCAGTGATCCAATGGAGTGGTGGACTCTTGAAGCCCCGTTGGAAATCCAGGTTGCAGAAGCACAGTGCCTTTGCTACCCCCCCAGAGAACCTACCTTCGAGTAGGAAGCTGGCTCCAGAAGGACCTGGGTGGCATTGCCAAGTCTTGGAAGCAGAAGAGGGGTTATCACTGCTATAAGAAAGCAGTGCTGGGCTGGACATCTTTCAGTAACAGGGAGCTCACCATCCCCCAAAATAGCCATCAATTTCTGAAAAGTTTTAATAAAATAACAGAAAGCAGCTAGTACAGCAAGGGGCGTGTGGTGGGTATTCAACCAACACTAGCTTCCTTTGTCTTGCAGTAAATAAAAGCTTGCCTTCATCTACTAATTAATCTTAGTTCTCTCCTATGAAGCAACACAAAAAAATGACTTCCCCCTTCATATTTTAGTCACCAATATTGAAAGGCCTTCTGTTCTCCAAGATGAACATTCCCAAGTCCTTTAACCAGCTTTCACATGATGACGTTCTAGATCTTGTATTATCTTGGTTGTCCTTCCTGGACATCAACCACACTCAAGAGGGCACCACAGTTGAGGTCAAACTGGCAAAGTACAATCGCCCTATTCTCCCGTTATTTGAACAGTATGCCTTTATGAATGCCGCCTACGATTTCGGTAGCCATTTTGGCAGCTGAATCACACAGATATAACGAGCTCGGAGTCTATCAAGACTCCTAACCCTTTTGAAGATGGATTATTCTTACTCTACATCTCCTCTGTTTTGTATTTGTGCAGATTAAATTTTAAAAAAAAGTCTGAAGTCAGGACTTTCTGCTTACTCTGTTAAATTTCTTTTTGTGGCATTGAGTTCATTTTGGTCTGTTGCAATCTTTCAAAACGCCGATGCCATGAAGGAATTAGCTAGCTGACTCAGTGACCAGAGACACCTGTGAGAGTGGACATTGCTGAACTTTGGATGCAGAGGCTTGGGTGTGACGTCCCCTTGTAGTAATTGTGTGACCTCAGGCAGCTTGTTGACCCTTCCTTTAAACAATGCTGTCCCCCGGGAAGAGTGTTGCCACAGCTGAAAGCTCTGTCAGAATTCTGAAATGGAATTTCTTTGGGTCTGCAGGCTTGAATTCAATTAAATGGATTAGGAGCTCTCTGTCTTCTTGCCTATCTTAAAACTTAATGACCTGTTGACTGTTTTGAGCTATCCTTTTTATCTGCTGAAGATCGATTTCCTTGATAGAGAAGGCCCATGTGAAATAGGACTCTTATCTATTAACATTATACCCTATGCCCTAAGGAGTGGCCTATCCCTTTCACGTCTCCTTGTTCCTGTTCCGGAAGGCATTAAAAGTGTTTGTTTGTTTGTTTTTAATTGCACTTATAATATCTTTTGTAAGCCCCAGTGTTGTCTTGAAAACAGCACTGAACAAGGAGTTGGATCCTTGTCTCGGCTCTTTTGTTATTTCTCTGATTTGATGCAAGCCACACTCCTCTCGGGGCCTGAGGCTGTTTTCCAAGTGATTTCTAAGATCATTCCTGTTGACGGTCTTTGACTCTATGAACTAGTCCATTCGCTCCTCCTGTGAATGAGAACAACCCCTCTTCTGAATGTCCTCCAAGCCTGTCAGTCTCCTGCCCTCCCCGTGGTCTCAGCTCTTGCCTGACCTCTCCTCTTCCCCTGGGATCCCTCTGGAAGGACTGGAAGTGCTGCCATCACTTGTCCTTGTTAGGAGTCTCAGTGGGCGATGCTCCTATAATCCCTATCTTCCTTAGAAGAAACAGTATTTCCTAAGGATGGGCTAAGCAGTTCTGTTTAAAGGCTCAGTTCAACAAACATGTATTGAGTCCTACTATGTGCTTCAGAAGAAAGACCTGGTGATCTGCTTCCATAAAGATTGTTGTTGTTGTTAGGTACAGTCGAGCTGATTTTTTACTTATACCAACCCATGTGACAGAGTAAAACAGCCCCATGGGGCTTTCTAGGCTGTAATTATTACTGGAGCAGATTGCTAGGTCTTTCTCCCACTGGATGGGTTTGAACTGCCAACCTTTCAGTTAACAGTCAAGCTGTTAACCACTGTGCCACCAGTGCTTCATAAAGACTATAGTCAGGAAACCCTTATGGAGCAGCTCTACTCTCTAACACATGGGGTCACCATGAGTCAGCATCAACTCAATGGCAATGGCTTTAGTACTACGTGCCAGGCTTAACTATACAATGGATGCACTGAGATGCTGGAGTTGGGTGGGGTTGGGGTTGGGGAGGGGAACAGTCAAAAAAAATAAGCA